TTATTTTCATAAATAATGACCACTCCCTTATAAACGCGTGCGTCTATAAAAATCTGCAGTAATAAATTGACCTAATAAATCCTCGGAATTATAATATCATTAATATTTCATTAAATTTTACCGTATTCCCATTGACTGCCAATTGGCTCATATATTTCATTATAGCCATGCAGTGGAGCACTTTCTTGATAAATTTAAACCAGACTGGACTGAAAGCGACCTTGTACTTGTCCATTTAATACATGTAAAATAACTCGGCCTTACAAATTCGCTCGCCACAACTGGCACAAGTCAAGTCAAGTCAAGTCAAGATCAGGTCAAGAACGACGAAGACATTGACATTTCCCGGTTTGGTAGCGTCCTTACACAGAGTTACACTATACTTATAAGGGTAACTGCATATGCATTGCGATTCATTAAAACCGAAACAACAAAGTTACGTTCTGTGGGAGGTATTACGGTGTTACCATAAAGATCGGCAACGCAGAGAGTAGTTGGGTCACATAGGCGTATGGGAGGTCAGGAGGGAGGAAAAAGATTAGGGGTGGGGCGCGAAAAATTTGCCCGACGATTTGAGAGGGGGGATTCCAGCCCCTAAGCCACGCCCCTCTCCTACGCGTATGGTCAAACAGATGTAGCCATGTGGGATCTTTTTGCAGATTGGCGTACAACTGCGTTCATCAGAAGTTTCAAACGAGGTTTATTAGTCGACGCGGAATACAATGCATCGCTAGTTCAGTCTCGGACAATGGCAAACTTTCAAAGGAGCAGAATTGAAAGATTTCTTGACGTCCAGAGGTATTAAATGGCACTATATAGTAGAACGTTCCCCATTGTGGGAAGGGTTCCATGAACGTATGGTTAAATCTGTGAAGAGATGCATGTTTGAAGGTGGTATTAGCCACCGGTTAACTTATGAAGAGCTATTAAAACTGTTGGTTGAGGTCGAAGCTTTCATAAGGCCAATTTATACGACATACGTTTTGGGCTCGGCACCCTTTAATACCACAGGCACCCTTTAATACCACAGGCATCGTACGTGCCCGTTGGTATTAAACGCACGTACGTGCCCGTTTTGACCTGCTAATCACCGATCATCAGCCTGGTATCAGAGCCACCCAGAGACAAATGGGGTCTGGAAAAAAAAACTCTAACTCTCCCCCTGACGAGTAAAATTGCCTAAGCCAGAAAATTTTACTCGTCAGGGGGAGAGTGCTGCCACACAATGGGTTAAAAAAGACAATTCTTCTTCACTTCAAAAAGGGGGAGATGGGAGTTTTAGAGGATATTCAGTTGGCAAATATTTTCTGAATATAAAGTGCACATCCACGCAGTATAGCCAGCCCAAAACAAGTTGGGAGGGGGACAGCTGAACATTTTTCTATTTTTAAGGTCTGCAAAATGCTATTTCATGCATGTTTTATGAAAGCCACAGATTTGATATATTTTATGTCATAGATGAATTACGAGGTTTTGTTTTGTTTTCACAAATTTATTTGGATCAATAATGCATTCAATATATTATCAAGTCTAAGAATAACAGTTACATAAGAATTAATAACTTATAAATGATAAATCGAAGATCCAAAAAGGCAAGGTACAAATGGGACTCTTGAAAAAGGACCCATGCAAGGACCTGCCAAGAATTTAGATTTTATGTACTTATTAAATAAATGTTACACATATTAGTACTGTATATACTGTATATAAAAAAATTCTAATAAATGGAAAGATAAATTAAGAAAGAGAGAATATATTATAGGAAGTGTAGAGTGATCTATAAAGTAAGTAAGTAAGTAAGCAAGATATGCATGCCCACCCCCCTTATGTTTCTCATCAGTTTTGGACGAATTACAAAATGGTCCTGAAGAAAAGGGGGTCTGGACCCCCCATCCCCCTGTGGCTACATCCTGCTTTTCCTGAATGCTCTAATATAGGTATGTACTATTTAACCTACAATTCAGATCAACTGGTAATTTGGGGGTAAATCCTGCTCAAGCTCAGATAGAATAGTTTCGTCATTGGTAGCATAGGGAGGAGGAGGAATATTTTGAACTAATACAAAAGTTTCATCATTGGCAGAATATGGAGGAGGAATGTTTGGAACTGCATTATTGTGTACTGTAGTGTTGGCACTGTCAGCTGGGACCATTTCCACACAACCTTGAGAAGGTAGTTGTTGTGTTCTCTGGTGCATAATTGGTTTGTTACGACAATACATGATGAAAAAGGCAACAATTCCAAAAAGAAACACAACTATCGTTGTTACCAAGATTATCCATACAGGAAAACTTTTCTCACAATCTAATGTACACTTATGATTTGCGCCACAACATTCATTTGATCTAGCACAGTCATTGTCTGAGCTACAAGATTCATTGATACAATGTTCTTTACACTCGCTTGATTCATTTGAAAACTGCTTCTTGCAACAAGAAAATTCCAGCTTATCACAGTGGAAATGGGAATCACATTGGCCTCTTGCACATACTCCACGTCTACACCATTCCTTACTTGATCCTCCACAGTCATGATTTACCATACAAGTTTCTCCAACACAGCTGGACCTACATTGACCATACCAGGTGCCTGTGCAACAGTAGTGTCCATTACTGCAATGGTAATTTGATGAGCAATGACAGCCATATTCTGTGCAAATTCCTGAATGACAACATACACCTGGTGAACCACAGTCTCTACTGCTGCTACAGAATTTCCCCAAACAACTTTCATTACAAATACCTTTCAAATTCAAGGAATATAAATCTCTTCCACAACAGTATTGTCCAATACTGCAGTCACCATTATATTTACACACTGTGTAAGGACACTTGACACATTTATTAGATTGGCAACACTCCCTCTTTCCACCACAGTCACTATGGTAATTACATGATTCACCTATGCAACTTGAATTACAATGGCGTTGTTTGAAATAATATTCACCTTGCCTGCAACAGTACTGTCCTGATGTACACTCAGAATTAAATCTACATCCAGGATCAGAACATTTGGCGCATTCTCCTGAACGACAGCATTCCCCAGGTGCTCCACATGACAACAGATTACTGCAAGGCTTTCCTATACAAGTGAAATCACATCTACCACCATGACCATACAAATTTGTCTTACAGCAGTACTGATGAGAACGTGAACCACAGTCATAATTCTCTTTACAAAAAGAACATTTTATACATTTGTTGGACAAACAACACTCGTCTGAGCTATAAACACACTCATTATTTGATCTACAGAAACGGTCCAAACATGAGGAGATATTCGTACAACTTCGACTGCTATTCCGGCTGTAATCTCGACAACAGTATCCGACTGAAGACAAGTCAACACAATCGACATGCGAGTCACAACTATCCTCCGCAGCGAATATATTTAACACAAATATGTAAAATACAAAAATGTAAAATACAAAAGTAGTTTTATGCTGTTGCCTCTGGGCTTCTGTAAAAACCAAATATTTGACCATTTCAAATTTTGTTTACATGCACACTAATTGAACTCAGGGCTGCCACTCTCGACAACCTATTTTCACCTAGGGCGGGCACTGAAATCCCCTACGTTCCCCCTACACCACGATATGCAATTTTCCCCTATGTTCCCCTACGTTCCCCGTACAAATATTGTATTTTCCCTACAAATATGGTATATTTGTAGGGAAATACACTGGGCTGTATAATAACTGGAGGACCTGCTGCTATACTTACTACACAATAGAAAGTTAAGCTTCACGTTCAACGACAAACGCCAGGCAAAGAAAAATTCTACGATCTAAAGCAATTAAAAGTAAATGGACTTGTTGTTTTATATGAAAGAAAATAGACACGCAGAAATCGAACGAAAATTATGCCAAGAAAAGTCGACCTTGCCGTTTGGCGCTCGGCACGCAAACGTGAAGCTTAAACTCCGTATTACTGTAAAACCTGAGCAAAATTGCAAAAACCTAAAGTTTTTTCAGATAACTATAGGGGGTGTGGAAATTGTAGTCAGCAAAGGCCAAAATCCGCCATGTTTTTAGCTGCACCCTTTTCGCGTGCAGGTTCTCCTGGGTAAATACAATATCACTTATCACCATATACTCATCACATGATATTTCACTTCTTCCACATTCAAATTTAAATTTTTAGTTGTTTCCATAAAAAATCCTGCAGTTCCATACAATGTTCCATACTCCATAGAAGACATACAATATTGAAATTTACGGAAGGACTGATTTGGATAATCACAAAAAGAGAAATACGATTTTTGTAGATAAACCGTAAAAGAAACCCCCTACGTTCCCCTACAAATTACCGTTTTCCCCGTAGGTATCCCCTACTCCCTACAAGAGGTGATAATCCCCTCCTGTAGGGGAATCCCCCTACGAGTGGCAGCCTTGAATTTGATACTTTCCCCACACCCCCTCAGGCGCTAAATTTTTGATGAGGCACGTGACCAGCCGCAGCCAGGGTCTTTCCCAATGAAAGATCCTGGGTACGAGGTTGTCGAAAAGACTGTTTTTAGATCAAAATTTCCGAAAATTCGTCAATTTTCCGGAAGGTGGGGGGGGGGATTTCCGCCACTGTCAATAATAATAACGTGATAACAAAAACAAAAAAGTTTGGATAAGAAAATAATAATATCGCATTTGATGCCTCAATCTTGCTAAATGTTTTCACATGTCATTTCATTCTAACTGACATGCACATAAACTTCGCTGAATTTTGACAGCCATCTCCAGGCTTGTAACTAAAATGTCACTTATTCATTTATTAACGCACGTTTATATCAAACGAGAGCGTATTAAGAAATCCACGTCGATCACAATCTAACGATTCATACAATTGTGAATTCATAAATACGAGCCAGTAAAAATAGGATTCTTTTGTCATATGTGTGACTCTATCGGGTGGTAATATGTCTCGCACGTGATTGTAAAGTCCTAGTATTTATATGTAGCTTCACATATGAGTAATTTTTCGCGGAAATAGGTGCATGCAAAAGTGGGAAGGATGGACAGTAATATATAAGGAAGCGATAAAACTAGTTATTAGATAATAGTTATCATTATTGAATGTTGTGGCTAAATTTTTGCGAAATTTTTTGTTTTATATTATACTGGATTATTCCTTTGATTGTATATGCCTCTTGTTTACTTTAATTTCGAGAATTTGAGCATACTAAATTATGTTTCGCAAATAGTGTTTGCTTTATGTTCCGATACACAGGAAATGAAATGAGTTCAGCCGTCATAGGCGTACGGGCGGGAAGAAATTTACCCGATCGACTTTTACCCACTGAATAAAATTTTCCGTGTAACTAAATTTCCAAAATTTTCTTTGGGAAGTAGACAAAAATATTTTCCTATTTGTCAATTCCTCGTTACTTTTACATATTTCTGGTATTTTCAAATACCATATTGCATGTACTGTCTTCTTTTTAAATTTATTTCCCCCAATTTTTGCCCGAATTTATACGTTTATAATTTGCATGACTTAATTTATTTTGACTGGGGGCGGGCTGCCTCCCCCCCCCCCTCGCCCGTACGGCTATAATCAGCCGTTGTTACGGATCGGTTATATATTGTGTTAAAAGTATTTTGACTTTGTCGTTTCTGATGACATTTGCCGACTCTCGACTTTTTACTCTCAATCGACTCTCGACTTTTTACTCTCGACTCTCGACTTTTTTACTCTCGACTCTCGACTTTTTTACTCTCGACTCTCGACTTTTACTCTCGACTCTCGACTTTTACTCTCGACTCTCGACTTTTACTCTCGACTCTCGACCTTTACTCTCGACTCTCGACTTTTAGATACACTCCTCCAGATTCTGTACTAAAACCACTAATTCTGTTTTGTGATTGGTGCGGCTTAATCAAAGAATCGCCCCGTTGAACCAGAGCCTTCGCGACATTTCAATTTATTATTTACTGTCGAAGGCTCTGGAATCCAGGGTACGTACCCAGGCGTCTCTTTGTAAAAAAACAGTGATGCGCATATGATGAGTTTACATGAAGTATTGTAGTGGGGAGAGATGGCGAAGGGGCTGATGGGAAACGCAGTCACGAAATGTTATAATCAACTATACACTCGACGTTTATTATATTGAGTTGAAAACACCTCTAAATAATTGTCATACCACCATTTATTATAAGAAATCGACTATAATCGAAGTGCTATATACAAATTATCATATTCTCTTGGCTGTAGTATTTATACACGAGTTCTAAAAATTGCTTCTACATTGCAACAAAACTACATTTCTGAACATGCGCAGAGGACCTTTTTCCTATACAAGAATACGATCTCTTTTTAGTATAAATTGATAATTTTGTCAAACGTAGCTCTTTTACAATTTCTCAAAACCTATTTCGTTGCACGCTAATTAAATTGCTATAAGGCCATATAAAATAAATTCCTTGATTCTCATCACCGCCCGACGATATTTTGGTTTCCGCGTTGATATATTTTTGTATTTTGTTATAAAATATAAATTTACCGCCTGACCGAGCATCTTCAGAGATTTAGTTATTTTTATATTTTATATTGGAATTTTTGCGATATAAAATTGTTTTATCGTTAATATTGCAACATGTTAAGGGATGCTTGGAATACTGAAGGAAAAAATGGCTTATAGCCTTATTACAACGATTTGTGTGGACCCTTATGCATGTTCATTAGCGCATGTGCAATTATCCACTTATATAGCGTTCTTCTATAATATATTTAAGGGCAAATATAAAAAGACCTCCCTCTCCAATTTTTTAAATTTTAAACTTTTTTTTTATATTTTGACATAAAATATAAAATATAAACCTCCCGCGTCCTGGTAGTTTTTAAAATTTAGCGATGAGAATCAGGGAATTTATTTTATATGGTCTAATATTACATTTCCTACATAAACTCTAATCAAACATATTTTCACCCCAGGAAATTGCGAATTTACGTAATTACATAGTGTCTGTCTAAATGATTTGGAGAAAAACGAACTAACTCGCCTCATAGCTAACTCGTTATAAATACTGTATATATAAGTACATTATTTTTCGCGCGATAAAAATTATAACTGAGTCTAAAATCTATACAGTTTGACAAAACTTCTAAATGTAGGTTTTACAAAGTACTATCGTGGAGTAGATGATGGTCAACCTGCAGTTATCAGAGCGAGAAAATAATGTTCATTCTTTTCATTAGATGGAGTAATCTTGTATTTGTTGGCAAATAAATAAAATCGAAAGATGTAGTTTAATTTGCTTTGCTCCTAAAGTTTTTTTTGCTCTTGAGGTCACCACCATCTACGCCGACTAAGCCTAAAAATTCGCCATAAAAATATATCTTTCTGAAACGCCCAACACGCCTTGAATTCTCGCCCTTATATTCGCTCTAATAAAACAGAGTTCTAATAAAACTTAACGCTGTACAATCTTACTACAGGCGTAACTGGGCGGAGGACTGGCGCTAGTGAATGCACATGTGCAACGACGATTCATCTGAACAGCG